AAAACAAATAATCGGGTAAATAGCGGTTCTATAATTTATCATAAATTTAAATGTAAATCGTTACCTAAACAAATATTACCACCCGGCTATTCAACCAATAATTGTTCAATCAATCAAATCTAAATTACAATAAATAAAGAAGTTGATAAACGTGAGGGAAAGTTACCAGTCACAACAAATGAACGTTGTTCTATCCTGACTGGATAGAACACACACAAAAGGAGGAGCAAATCAATATGGCTACCGCCAAGAACAAGTGTCAAGTAAAACAACACATGCAGTTCGGGAAGAAACACAAACTTAGTGAATGCGTAAGAAAAACAAAAACTATGATAAAAAATACAAGTATTAACAATTCAAATGTAATCAAAAGACAACAATGTACAACTAAGGGGATCAATAGGAACAAAGTGCAAGTATATAGATGGAGGGATTTTCACAAACACACAAAACATTCAAAATGGATCTTACACCGCAGTTGGTCCCCATGTAATGTTCGGGAGATTAAAGTCACCTCTGATGATTTTAAACGTATGCTGTTGATGCGAATCAATGAAAATATGTTTGCTAGTAATCCACCAAAGTTTATATCCGCATCAGGTGGTTTGTATATGCATCCCACAATTAGAAAATTTTGTGATTTACAGTTTACGGTAACCCAAGTGCAGCTGTCTGTAGCATCAAGGGATTTATCCGAACGGACGTAGATAATTGTACCGCCTCCTATCCCATGATATCAATTGGTTCGAAAGAGAACATAATTATCTGCATGCAAGGAGTGATCGGTCATCGATTATTTGCACCACGTTTCCGTAATAAGTACAATGGTTAGGTTTACAAGGAATGAAAGGGTTCTAAGACTAGTAATTTTGTTGGACAGAGAACAGGCAACGAACGAATGAATAAGAAACTGAGAGGTATCATGGTGAAGCAGGCTAGAGTATAAATCACAATTGGTAGTTCCATGAATACTCATAGGATTGTCTAAGGTAAGAGTTGTGTTACGAGGGGAAGTAGATTCGACAACTTTATCATTTGCAATATATTTACCGTTGTCGGCAGAATAGCATGCAGAATTACAAGAACGTCTTCTCATTGTTATTAAGTATAAAAAATGAGAAATGCATAGTGTACGTATCGGGAGCCGGACCAAGAAGGTTATCAGATTTGTGTGTGTGACCAAGTGGCAATTTACAATTCGGATTAATTTTTATACCTGACGTATGGCAAAATTTTCCAGACGTTTATTTCCAATGTTTGTGGTTTTTTTTTGGCTCCTTCGTAATTTGGGGAGAATCGAGTGTTGTTAAACATACTTGTGGGTGGTCAGTTATATAAATGTTATGACCAGTTTTCCTGTTATCCGCTGCACATTTACTGTAACTGGGTGTTGCACTGACAGGAATTTGAACTGTGTTATCCCATTCGCCATTAGCACAACTACTGAGAGTTAGATCTAAATCAGCAATCTGAGGAGGGTGGGCCCCATCAACGTCGGGATTACTTTCTTCTACATTTTGAACTTTGAGAAATTCAGGAGAGTTCAACAGTGGTGGCGTGTTTCTAAAGTTAGATGTCGTCTTAGAATCGGATTCAGTTTTATGACCGTTAGGATTATGATGCGTTCGTAAGTTTGACGCTGGTGGTCTATGACCAACTCTCCCTGCTTTCCGCTGGCATGGAATTCCATCTGCAAGAATCTTAATATCCTTGAATATCTGCTTTTGTCTCATCGAATTGGAGAAAGTTGGAAACTCGCTGGCGTCTACAGAGAAGTCAAATTTGAGCGAATTGGGTTAGTACATACTAAGGTGACTTCATTTTAATCTTGTGCACACACATGGTACATGTGTCATATTGCTGGCTCTAAGCAGACTAGGTTTAATGTTTTAAGGGTATATGTGTCCGGTATATTCAACACAATTGTGCTGATAGATCTTCTTATTCTTCGAAATATCTCTGAAGCAAAACGATCTAGGAAATTATTTATATCCTTCATTCGATCTGGAGTCACTGTGACGTAGGCGTTGATGATATACTTAAGCAGATTGAGAATTTTCATGTCAACTTGACACCTTCTTGTATCATCCATATGGCTGTAGTTGTGACTGTCATCACTGTTTACCAACAAAGTCTTCAACATGTCTGGGATGGCGACAACTAATATAGGCTTGTCTGATTCCGGATGAATGGAGTAGGTCGTCTCGTTGGAACTACGGAAATCGTGTCGCTTTTGGTGTCAGATTATGTCGTTTTCCTACGTTTGGCTGTACGCCCAGAAGCAGGGGACTTCCTTTATATTTGTGGGATGATGATGAAAAACTGAAGATGGATTGAACAAAATGTTGGAAATAGAAACGGGTAAAAAATGCAGATGGCCCAAGTTAATCAGGAAATCAAAACCTATGTTTTAACCAAGAATGAATGGATCGTGAGAATTAGTGAAGGTTTCAAAAACAAGAGGAGAAAATGGCAGTAAGATAGTAGTAGGGATGTAGTATGTATGTCAGTATATGTGTAGAGGCAAAACGGAACATAAAGGTGTACATTGTGTACATTTTAACATATATATTACACGGAAAAATAGCCTTCTATAATAAAGTAATTTCGAACTGTCAATAATCACTATCAAACAATCAAAGTGAGTACGGTATATAGTGCATCTATAAACTGGTAAAAATTAGGGGGGTGCAGAGAAAAGTAGTTTAAAAGATCATAACCATCTAAGATTATCATGATGCTTTATGACCAAATATATGAAACAGCTTTTTGGATAAAAATACTGACCAAAAACTATGAGAGACTCACCGAATTGGACAGGTAAGTTTGCAAATAAAATGAGTTATAGCATCGAAATACAATTTAAAAGATATTATATAAAATAGTGAGCATAGTGCTTTATCATGCACCATTATATATATATTTCTTAATATTAGGTAGTGGTCTGAATATATCCTGTAAATTCATAAATTACGTAAGTTATAGCTCCCAAATACGATAAAAGTAATAGAATGCAAATGTGAAATTCAATTCTTCGTCGAATATGATTATATGTGGTTTTAAAAATGACAGAGCATGGTTTGATCGTCGACTGTTGCTAAGATAACGGTTTTCCGAATATTTTAAATAGATATTTGACTACATCACTGTGATCAAAGTCATGTTTGATCTTTAGAAGGAATATTTTGATGTAGTGTTTATTGTGTATGATGTCGAGTTTTACTGACACTCCTTTTGTTTTCATAGTGTTGCAAGGTTCACAAACACAAGTGTGTGAATGCGTCAGCTCATTTTTCTAAACTCTCTCAATATATAATATTACACACATAGCAACGTCACAAAATAAGTGTAGACAATATTAACACTGGACACATACAGCTCAACCTGATTTGGTTTATTTTCTCGGAAATCAAAACAAAGTAGCAATAAATCAGATACCGTCAGTGTTTATTTCTCACCGATAATATTGATGACCATTTTCGTTTGATCGCGTTCTATTCCATCTGTTAAGAAACAGAATAACCTTCTTCAAAATGTCTTCAGGTTCAGAAACGTCACTATTAAACACACTGGGTGTGACGTACCCGTTAAAATCACACGGCAGTGTCTTGACTGCTACGAGGAACTGTGCATGTGTGTTTGCCACGCTGTGTTCGTCGAAATCAACTTTTGCGTAGCTGAGCCAGGCTTTGATACTATCGGGCCAGGATGGCATGAGTTAAAAGACGTGAGGTGGAATAGTCTTAATCCTAAACAACTTAGGTACGTGCTCCGTCATAATGAAGACAATATATATAAACCGGCGAAAAAAATTTCCGAAAACATTAAAATAATGTCGTTACATGCAAAAGAAATTATTGAAAGATGATATATAATGTCACAACATGGAATAGACTCACAGTCTATTGTTTGAGTACCAGATCAACTTGGGCTCAGAAATCACAAGTGAAAGAGATCGGTGATATATCTAGAAAGCTATCGATATGTCGAGAAGCGTTTGATCTAAGCTGGCTAGCAGTTGTAAGAGATGCGTAACACCACACACACACTCCTGATCTGGTGCAGATGCATGACCGGATGCCGTCAGCTAGGGCATGTCTAGTAAAACTGATTAGATCAGCATCAATGCCGAGGACATACAGAACTGTTTACTTACTTACTTACTTACGCCTGTTATTCCCATGGAGCACAGGCCGCAGACCAGAATTCTCATAAATTCTTTAACATCTTTGGTCCTAGTACTCTGTTCAAATCCGGAAGACTATTATCGTTACCATTTTCTAAAATAACTCAATGAACTTAATTTCAAGTCTCCGTCATGATGATCGCCGTGAGTAATACTCCCATTGCGTTATCACGAGAAGACATATTCTAGGTACAGTAGTGCGATTCGTGCATGTCGTTTTTATTTCTTGAGTGTTTTTGAGTTATGGTGTAATAACCCTCCTGATTTATTGTAAATACCTTTAATAGGTCACGAAATACTCATACTCCATTTGTTTGTGATCTTGTAATCTTTCCTTTGGATTTCATTTTCAGCTACATATTGATGGATTTATTAAAGATACCTCTAGTCCTTTTCGTCGAACATCTAGTCTAACTCCTAAATCTTTGAGACTACGAATGACAGTTTTCAAATAACATATCCTGGGTGATTTTGACACTGAAGCTGTTTCCTACCACTGCGGTGGACTTCCGTTCATACTTATCCTTCAAACGGTTCGTAGTTCACCTATCATTTCTGACAATTATGCCTTACTGAACCGTTGATCGCAACATATATCTCTTGAGTTACTGGGATTATGAAAATATGCAATACCAATAGAAATCATTTTTATAAATAATTATATAGTCAAGCCTACAAAGAGTATATTCTCAATGACTACCAAAGCACATGGTAATGGTGAGCACACAGGTTCATTTTAACTACACGGCGGTACATTCGACTGGAAGTGATTCGGTGTGTAGTTACGTTACTTCGTTAGGTTGGATGCTTGAAAATGGGGGATTTTCAGAGTTTTAAGGTTAGGGACTTGTTTGTACTGGTTTTAGGTCACTGATCATGTCATATCTTCACTATTCTCACCAGTAATTTATTATTCTCATGTTAACCTGAGTAGTCATCTTAACATCCAGCTTTGAAATGTTAATATTCACTTACATATACTATCTAAACACGCCTTTCCGACAACATTCTTGTTTTTAGTTCGAGAATTCCATGCCGGATTTATGTCCTGAAACACAGCTGAACTTTAGGAAGTTTCTTCAAGCTGCTGGGATTGAAAACATGTTGATTAAAGATGGCCGGAGAATATCAGATACCGAAGTACTAAATGAAATCAGGAAAGAGGTCGCTGTGTTGTCTATGAACGACGATGATGGGTAAATTAACATTTTCTAGGGTTTATTTGTCAGACGGACCTCGTCGCTGATTCTTGCGTGTATCAACGGTGACGATGAAGCTGTTAAACTTCTCATTCTTTCGGGCGAGTGCGATGTAAACGAAGTTGCACCTGATGGAGAAACTGCACTGACGTGTGCCATATCCTCGAATGCTGTGCGGATTGTGGAGATGTTGTTAAAACATGGGGTACATTCACATATTTGGTATTTTAATACTCAATTTGTAGTCTGACCCAAACTTTCGTGGTAAGAAAGTTGAGTGCACTCCATTGATGGAAGCTGCTAGTGTTGGTTATACTGATATTGTGAAGTTGCTGTTGGAACATGGAGCATGTGTTGGCCAAAAGTCGAACACAGGAAATACTGCACTACATTATGCTGCTACTTCCGGTCACTTGGAGTGTGTTGTCTTTTACTACAGTACAATAGCCAATGGAAGTTCAAAATGATACTGGTCATACACCTTTGATGGAAGCTACAAGTAACGGGCACGTAGACGTCGCTCGTTGTCTTATAAAGCATGGATGCGATATTAACACACATTCAGCGGAATTCAAAGAATCCGCACTAACTCTGGCAAGCTACAAAGTATGTGTACGATATTCTTATTGAAATCTATCAGCAAAACTTTCCGTATAATTCGATTCTTTGGACACTGGCTTATAGTAGCATCAGTGCACGTTTATTAGGTGTTAGGAATTTGAGATCTAAAACAACTGTTAAGGGTTTAAATGTTGTCTTACGGTTCATGTAACGGACTGCAAGCATAGTACTCTACAGTTTTTTAGTTTGTAAAAAAGGATGGTGTAGTCCCGAGTACCATTTTTTATCCATAGTCCTATTCCGTTTGTATCAAATAACACAGAATCATAACGCCTCATCTAATTTATAGACTTGTTTCGTGCGTTGAGTCAATTATGTTTCGTCTCAATTTTGGATAGGAGTTACAGTTGGATAGCTGCCGTCTGGGTGTCCCTCTCAACAGTCATTTTCCTATAAATGAAATATTTGTATTGTAATCAGTATGTTCCTGGCCATCAATTTTTCTTGGTGTTACCGTCTACTTATACCAGGGGATTGTGATCTGGCAAATTTAGCTCATCATTACGTTCCATAATCAGTTCCATCAAGTATAAGTGACGCGTGTTCTAAGACCACTACCTAGATTTAAAGAGTTGTAACTCATGGATGCATTAGCAAGACTGTTACGCCAAGTGTTTTGTATTTAAACAGTGTGAACTCCATATTTAAGCTGGTTGAAGTGTTGTTTTTAGCATAGTAACCCCATTTGTTCCCCGTTTCCTTGTCTGGTATATTCTTTGCATCGAGGTTCAGCCCATACTTTTAAACACCTGTCTTAACCAGTTAGCCATGCCCGCAAATATGACTTTATCTACTTGAGTTTTGGGGCAAAAATAGTACAATCGAACTTTATAACGTGGAGCCCATAGTTTATCGCGTGAATGTACGTTGCATCCATTTACAGTTCGCACAGATGGTTTACTTGATGTCGTTAAGGCATATGTAAAGAACAAGAACTATTAAAAAGATGTAGTGTTACAAGTTTTGCTACTAATGCTGTTCACATCAAACAATCGAGAACTGAATAAGTAGATGTTTCCTTATCCTGGTAGTGCTTTTTTTTCAAAGGGTCATGCGGAAATGGTCCGTTTCCTGTTGACTGCAGGAGCCGATCACGAACATCGTACTGATGAAATGCACACTGCCCTAATGGAAGCTGCAATGGAAGGTCATGTCGAAGTTGCTCGATTACTCCTTGCTCATGGCGCGAACGTGAACATACCACAAGATAGTTTCGAGTCCCCTCTAACTTTGGCCGCTTGTGGAGGTCATACCGAGCTTGCACATCTGTTAATTGGATATGGAGCAGATATTGAAGAGGTGAATGATGAGGGCTATACACCCTTAATGGAAGCTGCAAGAGAAGGTCATGAAGAAACTGTCGCTTTATTGCTTGCAGTAGGTGAGTTGATGAGTATTTATTCTGTAAATTTTTAATAAAAAAATTCAGTACAACCTGCATTAATGTACTTTGTCTTGAATATTTACGTCATTATCACTAATGATGCTAATTATATGTCAATTCTTTTCTTAACTGACCGACCTGCTGTTAGCATGTGTCGTGTGTTGTATTCCTGTCAAGTCTTCACGCGTAACTTCACAACGTAACCAAACAGCGAATCCAAGAAAATTTTCTGTATTATGTATTTAATAGGGTTGTGTTATCCGTCCCCGTGGATTTTGTTATCCCATACTTATTCCTCAAATTCATCTTTTTTTTCTTAGAACCCCTATTCTCTGTGTTTATTCCTCTTTATTCCCCTATCAACCTGAGTTTCATAGTAGTTCTTCATATCGCATTTTAATTCTTAAATGAAAACCACGAATATTTTCAATCGTATAATACGATAATATCAAATTTAGATCTTAAGATGCATATTATTAACATTTGGAATGTTATTTGGTTCAACAAGCGACTATACGAAAGTGCTAATTAGGACTCAGGTTATATTGTTTCTGGTTACTTTGCCTTCATATAAATATCTTGCGATCTGTTTAGGTGCTGAAGTTAACGCAAGAACGGAGGAAACCCAAGAAACTGCTCTCACGCTTGCAGCCTGTGGCGGATTCATAGAAGTCTGTGAAATGCTTTTAAATGCTGGTGCTGATATTGAAGTTGGCGGAGTTGGTTGTTCTACTCCTTTGATGGAAGCTGCTCAAGAGGGACATCTAGAACTTGTCCGGCGTTTGTTGGAGCGTGGAGCATTAGTGAATGCAGTAACCGCCACTGGAGACACGGCGCTTCATTATGCAGCTGAAAATGGGCATGTCAAAGTTTGCGAGAAGTTGCTTGACTGGGGAGCCGTTTTTGGAGCTATGACAGAAGGAGGACGAACTCCATTGATGAAGGCTGCAAGAACAGGTCATTTGGAAGTTGTCCAGTTATTTTTAGAGCGTGGAGTAGCGATTGACCAGCCTACCTCACAGAATGATGCCAATGCCTTGTCGTTAGCTTGTAGTGGCGGACATGCAAAGGTAGGTTATCTTTAGAGTAGTGTTCAGTACATTTGCTAAAATAAACGTTTCACTGGTTTTCTGAGTATGACAATCACTTTTATACATTAATCATGCAAAATTGTTTGTTGGATTTTAACCACTGCCTTATCTTAAGAACGTCTAATGTATTCAGGAAACTTAATCATTTTTAAACTCCCTTAACTTGTTATTTACTGACATTTCCTCCTATAGATGGTAGAGTTCCTTCTTCAACATGGTGCTGATCCTCAATATCAGTTAAGAGATGGTTCTACAATGCTAATCGAAGCTGCTCGTTCTGGAAATCCAGCGGTTCTGAGACTCATTTTAGACTATCCTAAATGTCTCACTCAGCCGTCGTCCATGCTTCCAAATGCTTCTGTTCAGCTTGTTGCGAATACATTGAACCAACATCAAACTCAACACCAATTTTCTCATGACCAGCGTTCTGCTTACCAATCACTCGTGAATGGCGTACCTACAATCGGCAATGTTATCATGCCACCACCCCGCCCCCTTTACCTATTTCTGTCTCCGGAATAACCAACATGGATATGTGCCTTGACCCATCTCATTCACATATGCACCCACAAGGTCATTCGCATTCCTGTCATTCACACCAACAACTTTCGTTTCAGGCTCCTTCCAGTCTTTCTACGTCAACTAACTCTGTTCAGCCCACAACTCATATAAATGCGGCACTGGCCAACGCATATGCTGTTGGATGGGCAGCCGGGGCAGCTGCTTTAGTTCACCAACAACAGCAGCAGCACACAATAAACTCAGCTATTACCAGTTCAGGTATTTTTTTTACATGCTTAAGCTATCAGTATAATGACTAACTAATGATCAGTTTTATTTTTATGTACTGGATGTTCTTGCTTTTAGACAAACTGTCTTTCTGTAGCGTAAAATCTTGGGTATTAAAAGTTCCCCTTGGGTGAAATTTTAATCCCAATCCGGCAAAAAATATAAATCAATAATACTGCACTCTAATTTGGTTGTTTGCTATCTAGTGAAAACATTTTGTGCCTAGTGCTTAAATTGCGTAAATCGTATTTAACTACTGATGTGCAATCAGTAGCAATATTAATACCACTAAATTCCAATCGGGGCTGAGAGATTAACAAGCAACGTGGAACATGCTCTGGTTAATGCAAAAAGCAATATACAGGTTGGTTTTTGTAGTCAGTGTAGATATGCATTCGCTCATCAAAACTTTTCGTGAAAAGATAACCGTAAAACAAACCTAAAATAGAAAAAAACCCACCCATTCCCCTTTTCTATATTGACATCTATAGCATGGATGTGTTTGCGTTTCATTGTTTCCCACTAGATTTTTTGTTAGTGAATACAAGGGGTTTTCACAGTTAAATTAATTGTATCATTAGTCGGGGACCTTGCATTTTATGTTAATATACACTCACAATAGGACTTGTTATGTTCACATATCTTTAGTTACCCTTTGTCTAACTCCTATTTGTTCGGATCACTAATAATGTAGACAAAATCCTACTTACTTCGTATATGTTCTGTTGAATTAACGTGCTTAGAACAACGGTATATCCAAAGTCGGTATGTGAGTGTTGCAGATGTCTGTATTTCATAAATTCATTTCGGTAACCAGGCAGCTAAAGATGCAATGATTGTATAAGCCATTGGAGCTCAACAGCACACCGACTTGGAGAATAATAAGGCGACTCTTCTTTACAAATCATCTAATAAATACAGGAGATGGACAGATACATGCGTACTGGCGTACAGACATTTGTAAAATGTGATCAAAGCTACAAGTATTTGAGAAGGACAAATATATGGGTGACCGTAAAAAGAAAGATTGGAATAATGCATCTTTCCAAAAGTTATATTAAATCACGCAGGTGTGTCACAATACTAATTGCTACACACGCACCATGAAGTGACATTCTAATCAAGTTTCAAGTGAGTATACAAAGTACATTTCCCTCTTAACAGACCATTGGTTGAAACTCATTTTTGTGTAAAAAAGATGGCCTACAAGCTTGTAAACTATTTACTCGCAATCATAATCCGCTAAAACCAAACTTTTAATTTCATCTTATTTAATTCTTTCTTGATTATGGGTAAGTTATGTTGTGGTTTAATACTTTGAGGCATTTTCCATCATGAATTCGGCCTTATGTTAATATGAATTAAGTTGATCTTTTTGTAGTATGTTTAAATGTGATAAATCTCCAGTGATCTTTGTTAACGGTTTTGCTAATAGTTGGCATTACACTATAGATTGCATATATCTGATTAATTGCACTTGATAATTGCTTGCATCCTATTAAAAAACATAACTCCCATAATAAAAAAACGCTATCCCTTAAACTTGAGTCAAGTTTTTTCACGTTTAACTAACGAATTTCTCAGATAAACAAATATGTCTCAATCTAATAATCATCTAATAATCCTCAAGGATTGTTAATGTTCTAAACAGTTAAGGTTGTATATTAAGCTTAGAGCTTTATTAGCTCAACCATCTACCATTTAGTTACTGATCGCATAATCATAATCCAGATGAATGTATTTGGCTAACTCACTGACTTTTCGTAAACTCATAAGCTTCTTATAATCACTGCTACTCTCATATGTTGATTGACTTACAGTGGATGCACCTTTGGTTATGTGTCCTCCAGTCAGCGCTATACTTTCACACACACATACTTCTGGACCATTGCATGATCAGATTTTGTTGACAAACAACAATACATTCGAGCTTCTTCCTGGAACTTCTTTATCAACAAATGGATCATGTACTACTTTACCTTCAAACTGTTCGATTATGGCTCACAATGCGCATTTAAATTTTCAAACTACTTCTGTCACTGCTGCTGTCGATTCAGTTACCGGGATAACTAGTGTTCAAACTGTGTTAACTCAGGCAACACTAGGTGCTAGTGGAACGGGACCATCATCTAGTACAACTAATAGTATTGGTAGCATCAGTGGAGGTAGTTCAACCAGCAGTGGAAGCAGTGCTTCATCCATGGTTGCTGGATCTTCAATTGACCTTACAGATGACTTTAGTGCTGGTCTACTGGTGAGCTTTCCAATTTAATATTCAACATATTTTTCTTATCTGAATTAAAACCACTTTTACTATGGTGACAGTTCTGTAGTTAAACTCAGGCAATTTTTTAATGTTTATACTAGTTTTGGATTTGTCAACATTCATTTACTTTCTTTTATTCAAGGCACTTTTTCAAGAGCTGATGCCTGATTTGAAAGCGGATAAAGATGAATTGATCAAACGATTTGAAGCTGTCATGTGTCCCTTCAGCACACTTCGTGCTGCTCGTACTGCTATTAGTCAACGAAATGGAACCAATCTGGATTCTCCAACCGCAATCGCTATGAGTACTAATGCTGCCGTTTTGGCTCTTAGCAAGTTAATTGATCAACAATCACAGTGCCGTGCTCATTCTTCGTATCCTGGAAATGGTTGTGAAGTACTGGAACAACACCTTTCACCTAGATGTATTCATACATCTTCAGCTGATGCCGTCTTGTCTAAAACCACCCAGTGGACAGGTCTGCTTTCGACTTCCTGTGATACACAGTTTCCGGAACCAATTTCTTTTTCCACTGAGTGTGGCCCAACACTTAGCAAAGTACCTGATGATCAACCAGACCTCGCTGACTCCAACGATCATAACTTTAGTGCCGCTGCAATTGTAACACCGGTTATGTCTTCTTGCCATTCATCATGCTCCGCATTATCAACATCAGAATGTTCAATGTCTTCTGTCCATAGTGCCAACTTCTTATGCCGTGCCAATAAAACAACTTCAACATCCGTCGAGTCTATTTTACCTGCACTAAATTCTTACGACTATGGATTGGATAAAACCTCTGATGTATTAGGACCTTGCATTGATTCCTCGTATTTAAGCAATCTTGTGGATTCTGTCGGTCTTGCAACAACTCAAGCTGTCATTCATGAAGCTGGTTTAAACCATGATATACTTACATGTTATCGTCATTTTCACGTGAGTACGGTTTTTATCTACTATACATTAGGCAAACTCCTTAGTACAGTTAGAATATTAGAGCAGTCATCATATAACTATTTGGCTTTGTTCATTTTACAGGTATTCTGGGTTTTCAGTTCACACATTAGTGTTCACAGGGTTAATTTATAGCCATATTTACCCTTAATTACTTACGCCTGTTGTCCCTTCTGGGAGAGCATAGGCCACCCACCAGCACTCTCCATTATCTTGGGCATTCCTTTCCAGTCCTTTCCATTTGCTATTCATTCTTTTCATGTTTGCTCCCAGTTCCCGACTCAATGTGTTCTTTAGTCTTCCTCTTTTCTGTTTCCATTCAGTATTTCGAGTTAGTGCTTGCCTCGTGATGCAGTTTGTTGATTTCCACAATTTATGTCTTGTCCACCTCCAGAGTCTTTTCCTAGTTTCCTCCTCAGCTAGAAGCTGGTTTGTTCTCTTCCACAGCAGGCTGTTGCTAATGGTATCCGGCTGGTGGATATTGAATGTCTTGCGTAGATAAATGTTTATAAATACTTGTATCTTTTGATGATGGTTGTGATAATTCTCCAAGTTCCAGCTCCGTACAGCAGAACTTTCTTGATGTTCGTATTGAAGATTCTTACTTTGATATTAGTTGACAGTTGCTTTGAATTCCATATGTTCTTCAGTTGTAGGAATAGAGCCCTTGCTTTACATATCCTTACCTTTACGTCTGCATCGGATCCTCCTTGTTCATCGATGATTCTTTCCAGATACGTGAAAGATTCCACATCTTCCAGAGCTTCTCCATCAAGTGTGATTTGGTTGGTGTTCTCTGGGTTGTATTTGAGGATCTTGCTGTTTCCTTTGTGTATGTTGAGGCTACTGATGCAGTGGCTGCTGCTACACTAGTTGTCTTCATCTTTATTTATTTATTTTAACACATAGATATTGGTACAAGGAGGCACCAAATACATATGCGCCACACAAATCTCACTCGATATGTATGAGGGCTGTGATACTGCCAGGGTGCCCAAACCGAAGCAGGTGGTTTCCTTAAAGGGTCACTCCTCGAGCCTTCGACCTGAAGGTCTGATCCACAAGGCAGTGGAGCAACGTAAGGAGATGCAGTCCCATGGTAGCCGGTGACCAACGATTGGTTCATACGCCATTTTTTCCCTCAGGATCCTGGAGCCCATGTGCACCATTGGTCTGGAATCCGGTTAAAGCGCCGGACATTCGCTTTTCGTCCTTTTATTTTCATAAACAACGCCTCCGCCACGAGAAGGCAGTGAATAGGACTTCCCTGGCAGAGGCTGTATACGCATGGCCATGTGAGAGCATTTCGAGTGGGAGAGCGGACTCTCCTCGCTCTCGGCCATACCAGGGCATTTGGGGGCAAAATTCGTTCGTGTGTATGGGATAGAATTTCTTCAAAATTCATTCTCCAGACCGACAAAATTAATTTAATTCTGCATCACCATTTCTAATTATCGCTTCCTGATTCTTTGTTATAAATAGAATACTAATCAATAGATGAGCTCAATGATACGATGTTGTTAAGTGGTGGGGGCTTACTAGATTGTATTATTGACTTAAGCTTGCCAGTGATTTAGAATCAAAACAAGAACACTAACCAGATGCATTAGTTTTTTGTGTAATAAAATAACGTGCTTGCATAGAGGACAACACAAAATAAACGTTATAAAATGTTATAGGCGATTGGAGCAAATAAGCTTGTAAGTCACTGATTCCCCAATCAATCAAAAATTAGCTGTTAGGCCTAATTTTCGGTCGTCCTATCAACTCCCCCATAAAATGGCAACTCTAATAAGACAATGATACCTTTGACTTGTTTAACGAATTCCTCAGTTTTCGTGGAAGTTATATCCTTTTTCCTTCTACGGACTACAACCGTCTCATTGGCATTAAGTGTAAAATAGTTACTTCCCCTCTTCTTTACAATGTACATTTATCGTACACTTTGATTCATAACTATGAGAACATCTGATGTGCTATTGTGCTATAGTTGAAGACCACAATGGTTTTTGTGAGATTGTTTGATGCTTTGTGGGGTTGGTTTTTCGTAGGCTTCATAGACTCAGCTGAATATCATGTAACCAAAATTTGAGCCTCTGAGCTTGAAGTCGAGGAATTTTTTGAAAATTCTGACCGCAATGATACAGCTGAATTCGAATTGCCAGTGACTTCAAGATGCTCTATCGACTTTGTTGTATTATTGTTCTCACCAATGTATTGTTGCGTGAACTTAAATTTTCATGTATAATCCATACTTCCTTTTTAAACTTTTCGATTTTCAGTTAGTAATGTCTAAGTTGTTTCCAGATTTCCACTCATTTAGAAGCAATTTAATAAGTCCTATCTGCAACTATATAATAAATAATGAGTTCGACTAATTCATAACTACAGTACGTTATACAGGCAAAACGCATCTCAAGTGAACTCCTGATTACTTTCTAGTAACGCCATTACTATTAGGGCAAACATTCGTTCGTAGTGTGTGATTTATCACTGAATTTATCGTCGTATATATTGAATATTAACCGTTCAATTTTTATTTTCAGCATCCTGGATCACATTTTGCTTGTGCGTTTGATGCTACAGCCACGACAGCTTCAGTAGCGAATTTGAGTCATATGGGTGTTCATAACAATATGCATCATCACCATCATCATCATCATCATCATTCTCTGAATGTATCAACTTGCGGAGATAATCTAATCGGTTCTAACAATTTACTTCATGTCCCACAACAATCGTCCGCTATCTCCATCGATAGTTTAATGGTAAATCAAGCGGGAACGATCGCTTACAATCCCTCAGCAATGGCAGGATACCAACATGTCGCACACCCAACATTGTTACCAGTAAGTGGAAGTAGAGTTCTGCCAGTAGGACCCCAGTCTATCCTATCATCTGGAAGTGCTTCTATACCGAACCATGGTTTGTCACCCAATGACATGGCTGCAGTTGCTTCTAACAACTTGTCTATGATGGGAGATACAATATCTCCCTTGAATGTACCATCTTTAATTGATGTTAATGCTTGTATTGAATCCAGTATGGAGACAGCTCTAACTTTGGCGTGTAGTGGGGGATTTGTTGATCTTGTTCGTCTGTTGTTGGAACGTGGAGCTGACAAAGAACATCGTGACAAAAAATCACATACACCACTCCATACTGCTGTGTGTGCCAATCAGCGCTCTGTCGTCTCATTGCTGCTTGATTATGGCGCAGACATTGAGGCACAAGTGGATCGCACAAAAGATACGGCTCTGTCAATAGCGTGTTCTCATGGAAAATTAGAGGTCAGTTTTCGATCATAAACTTATGACATTCATTCCTATCTATTAATCTAAACCCCTCTTCGTGCTTAATTATTTAGCCTTCGATCTGATGTACCTTATCATTTTAATGTTAATTACAGTAAGAAATTATACTTGCTAATAACCATAAGCTGGTCACCATAGATTACGAGAATATCCAGTAATGCCAGGCGTTTTGTTACGTACACAACACCTGGATAGTCGCTTACACTACTGCTCATGGTTTATCTGAGGTTTTTCTGTTTAAATCTTTTTAAAATCTTGCTTCTGTAAAGCTCAGTGTACTGAGGAGTATTTAGATAATGACTAAAACAAACAAAATGTTTGCTTTACGTTGTATTTTGATCCTTTGTTACTTTGTAGATCGTCGAAGAACTACTGAACCGTGGTGCCAACAAAGAACATCGGAATATATCTGATTACACTCCGCTGAGTTTGGCTGCGTCGGGAGGATATGTTGAGGTTATACAATTGCTTCTACGTCATGGTGCAGAAATAAATTCGAGAACCGGTTCAAAGCTTGGAATCTCTCCCCTTATGTTAGCTTCTATGAATGGACATACTGCAGCTGTTCGTTTGTTACTTGAACATGGCTCGGATATAAACGCACACATTGAAACTAACCGCAATACTGCTTTGACCTTAGCATGTTTTCAAGGTCGTTACGAAGTTGTACAACTTTTGGTCGAACGCAAGGCCAATATTGAACATCGTGCGAAAACTGGTCTTACTCCTCTAATGGAAGCAGCCTCTGGTGATTATGTAGAAGTTGGGAGAATCCTGTTAGATCATGGGGCTGATGTCAATGCGTCACCCGTACCAAGTTCCAGAGACACAGCTCTGACCATTGCAGCCGATAAAGGCAATGCGAAATTCGTCAACTTGCTCTTGGAAAAGTGGGTTTAACACATTTTTCTTAGTTAATTCCTTACTTAAAAACTATGTAGCTTAGTGCTATATTACAGCCACTGTCAACAATTTATCAAAATAGCTACTTGTTAAGGAAGCTAGTTGACTAGACATTTCAGTCCGATCCTACCAAGTGAACGTGTATTTTTAAATAAATTGATTACGTTAATAAAACTCAGAAATGTTGTGTATCGTCCTAAATTTTCCTACTATCACCAGCCAACTACTGACAAATTTAAGTAGTATATTGTTCTCTTTATTTGCAGAGGTGGAGTTGTTGAAGCACGAAATAAAAAAGGTGCCACCCCACTATGGTTAGCTTCAAATGGTAAGTTACCCCTATCATAAATTTATTTTGAAAATCTTTCTTTAACCACCCGCAGATTTACTTCGTGTGTGCGTTTTTATGTTCATATTTGTTTTCCATATATTATCGCTATTTGTTTGTTAGGTGGTCACCTTGAGGTCGTTCAAAGTCTTATCCAGTACAATGCAGATGTGAATAGCCAAGACAATAGAAAAGTCAGTTGTTTAATGGCAGCTTTTCGCAAAGGTCACATTAATGTGGTGCGCTTGTTAGTTCAATATGTAACTCAGTTCCCATCTGATAAGGATTGTATTAGACATATTAAAACTGCAGTAACGGACAAGGTGAGTTTTAAAGTTGTTATTTTGAAGTTCATTCACTTTCACATGTAATCTTATTGGATATCTAAATCAACCATTTTATACAAATTATATTCTGTTTCAATTTAACACGCATTGATTTGTATTTATCAGTTTTTTGTTACAATTTGAGTAATTCTTAGGTATATTACTTCGATAGGTTTTTACTAGTTATTGATCATCTAACTATTATTTGTTGCATATGCTATATAGCTGACTACCTCTCATGTAATTAAAAAAATCAAATTCATTGTATTGATTTCGGCAGTTAACAACCCGACTAATTAACTACATGTACAGTACATTTCTAATGCACCGCTTTGTTGAAAATGTATAGTGGACTCAACAGTTGTGTTAATAAATAGTACTTGTAGGCAAACATTTTGTCATATATCACTGATCCTCGCCGCCTACATTATTCTATCTTGTATTATCCTATCAAGATTGGTCGACCTTGTGTGTTTATATTTTGATCAGACATGTGATGATGTATTTTTCTCACTCATTTTTATTAGCCAAAGTTTTATCCTTGTCATGTTAATTAAAGACCTAGAGATCTGTCTGTCTTGGTCTCATATCACGTGCTCTAGCCCCATGTTACTATTGGCTAACATGTCTGCCAATAACATACATCTGCTTTCTAGGCGAATCAGATTTAAGCCATTGTTTACTCGCGCAACCTGTGCAGATTTGCCTGCCTGAATGCTATTGGATTATGATATATCGTCTTTTAGTGAGACCTTAGCTCAACTTTTCAAACACTTTCTTAGTATTTGCAGGTCATTACGTTGGCATGCGTTTAACAACGTCACTGCATTGTTTTCTCATACCCTAGCAGCATGACACATTATCTTTACCTAACCAAGTATAATTCCACCAATGTGATAGCAAGTACGCGTTTCGAAATTGCAGCGCAAAATCCATCATCATATTCACTAAGGCGCTGGCAACCTCATGCGTTAACCAACACTTCCCATCCTCCGCCTAATCATGTTGCTCCTCTGACTTTGTGTGATGAAAATCCTATATCAGCTAGCTTCCAATCCCCTCAAAACTCACCCGACTTGGATTTATTACTTACTAATTTGTCCTGTACATTCTCAAAACAAAACCTGTCCATATCGAATGAGGATTATTGTAGTAGTACACATGATGATGAGAGTTTCGTTTTGGAGGATGATGTCGCATCTGTTCATAGTACGGATAGGATTTCTTCGTCTAGTGGATGTTCTGTTAGCTTTGATTCATTTTCATCTGGGAACTGTTCATTTTGTAATCCGGTAAGAAATTTCATAATTTTGGCTATCATAATTTTAATTGGGGTTTACGTATAAATACTACTTGTAGCTGTTTGCTTTTAGTATAACCATCACCAAATTTTAAATGCTTTTGTTATTATATTTATATAGATGATTTTTGAGTAAATGTCCAACTTAAAATTTTCAATGACGGTATAACATCAGCTAGAAAAAATTAAGTAGATATTTCGTCATAGTTAAGGAATTTTCACTATCCTGCTATCCTAGGCAGTATTGAACTATAAACTTTCGCTTCTTACAACATAGATGGTATCCTACAATTCTTAGATATGGGTAACCACAAAATCCATCTTGGAACATTTCGCAATTGAAAGTACGTGAAATTGTTTTTATTCCCAATACTGCTGATGTAAGTAACATTGTAAATTGTTTCAGTAAAATCAAACATTCAAAAGACTTGCTTTATAGTTTTTTTTATTTATCATGTATATGAACATGCGTTATTGTGTGTATTGACCAAAGTTTAGTGGTATTGAACTTTGTTCCTTATTTTCATACACTAATAATGGCAGGGTAAATAATAATGTTGTTTTCACTACCTTTTAGGTTATTGTGATCTCAAGAGCCTACATTTTGATATAAAGGAACTAAAACATTTCTGTTTTTTAAGATCGAGTTCTTTATTCACTACTCATCTTGTATTCTACTTATGCTTGTTCGGATTGCCTGTATGAAGATTCCATATATATTTTAATATGTATATGAAGTAACGGTATATCATATTTCCTGTAATGGCACTCAAATAAGCATATTACCTTCATATTGTATTTCCTCATTTTCTAATGATGTTTTTTAGTACGTCTTATGTTGCGAAAGTATGTTATTCGCCAGTCTGGTGATTTCGCTAATCTTTCGATGATGCATTTTTTTGATAGATGTATCTTTGTACAAGTAAGCAACATGGCAGTTCATTACTCACTTCCAGATTTTTTCATACCGCGAAGTATGTCTTGTATGTTTTATGAATTTTTATTAAAACATCGATTAGCATAACAAATAATCTCGATTCTTCTTTCTTTCAAAAAACTCAGGAGCTGGCTAAACGCTGTCAACAGTGCAGGGAAATTATTATAGCTGCTAAAGAAAAACAAGAAGGTGAGGCGAAGAAGAATGCTGATTGCCTTTTGGAACAAATTGAACAGGAAGAAGAGGAACGAGCTAATCGAGAAGCTATGCAAGCTCGAAAACGAGAAAGGAAACGCATGAAGCGTAAAGCAAAGCAAGAAAAAGAACGCCAAGTTAAAGGCACAAATCAAACACATACAGATTCTAATGTCGATGCGTCATCTCGAAGTAATACAACTGCTGAAACCAATGAAAATAAACGTACTAATCAGGATCGTGATGAACAGTTTAGGTGAGTCTTAATAAGTATTTTTTACGTCTTTCATGTTCACAGTTTTTGTAAGCATTTACGCTAGAACCATGTATTTACCATCAATTCTGTTCGTAGTTACGTTTTCTTCTAAACATATACTACATATATAGGGTTTTAAACGTTTAAAGTTACATTACTTCGTTTTTCTATCGGTTTAGAACCAAAGTTTTCTCAACATTCGCCGAAACAGTGATGTAGTTAATTAAAAATTTACTCAATCAAATTAATTTTGTTCATAGCCTTTCTCTGTGCTATTTCATTATGTAAACTGCATTTTCAAGCGGCAATATTCAAGTTTTCCTTAATTATGCATCTTTAAACTACTATGATTGTGCGTAAAACCTGGTAAGTACGTACATACGTCACTTCAATTCCCATACCTAATGAGCACAGAGAGATGTTGTCAGACCGAATCTCAGAAAGTAGGGGTAGTAACAATATTAGTGGGGGTGAAAATCTGGACATCGAAGAGTATATAAATCATGGTTAAGTCCAATTGTTAGCGACTTCATGAACTGATGCCATGTTTCGGTTTGACCGCCCCTAGTTTTCTTCCAGCCTTTCCTACACCAGAAAACATCTCCCGTTGAGGTAGACAGTGATCGGGCATATGTAACATATGTTCCAATCACCTCAGTTGATGAACAATCACTATCTGATCAATTGGTTTGCAATTTTTACTTATTGCCCTATTCCTAACTCAACCATTACTTACCCAGTGGTCCCAGAGCACATGACTATGCTTCGAAGACCCCTATGATAGAATACTAGTAGGCTACGAGTATCCTTAATAGCTATGTCTGACACCCATAAATTAGAATGGGACAAACAGCTGCCCAGTAAATTCGTCCCTTGGTTGACAGACGGATATCTCGCCTTCGCTACAAGTGATACAAGTTGGTAAATGCTAGGTGAGTCTTCTAAATCCATGCCGAGATTCCTTCAGACACCAAACTATCAGGACTGATGAGACTCCTAAGATAAGTTAAGCGGTCGATGCATCCAACTACCTCGCTCTCTATCAATGATTCAGGAGATACCGCAAGCCAATCCTGAAGTAAAATTTTACATTTAGAGGGAGAGAACCGCATCTCAAACGTGCTTGCATTGTTGCTTGAGGTGATCAGAAGACTGCATTTTTTCAGCGTCTTTATGAAACAAACTATTTCGCCTATGTATTCTAAGTTAATAAGTGAATCTCGTGGTAGAAAATCCCTGAAAAGACAAATGAGCAAAGTGCTATCTCTAAAAGCGTGTCTATGACAAAGTTAAATAAAAATAGAGAAAGCAGACAACCTTGACGAACGCTTGTTGAAGTAGCCAATTCCAATGACAGTCCTCCATAAGCTCTAATTTGACCAGTAGTGTTTGAGTAGAGAGTTTGTACAAGGTTAATGTACTTCTCTGGTATGCCTTTCAACGACAGACATTATCAGAGAACTTCACAATCAGCAGAGTGGAACATTGCCTTAATGTCAAGGAATGCAACTGTAGTCAGACATCGAAAAGTATGTCCATGTTCCAGAATCTGCCGAAGGCTGAATATTTGGTATATTGATCCACGTCCAACTTCACTAATATTTGGATAAATTACAGCAATTTCCCATTCAGATTGCTTGGAAATAATGGGTGATTAAAGTATGGCTGAAGGTTTGTTAAATTGTTCCCTAGTGTTCTGCCCACCGATTCAATCCCCTGGGTTGAGAGTAAATAAAATCCGCATCTTTTTCCGTGGTCGTATGACAAGTAGCCGGATTCTTAAGACCTTTTTCCTTGATAAGTTTGAACAGTTGTTGACTGTTACCTGTCGACTCTACCTTTTCCATCTCTTTTGCATTGGCCACTCACCGCTGCTCATCGTGTACAACATTTCACCAAAGATCCGTATATGCTAGTTATTATGGTTTATTATTGATTTGTGTTTATGATTTAAGAATAGAAGCAGCTATACGCTGTTTCCTTATGTGTAGAGATTCTGTTTATTTACCAATAGGTGCACGAATGCATGAATAACAGTATGGTTCACTTCTTACCATATCTAAGCTAGTAGCAATTGAATGTTTCTGTGTAATCAAAATTTTTACGGATTATTGATAAACAACCGGTTCCTCCCTTTTTGTTGATTTTATTAAATGGTTCGAAATCATGTAGGGTGTCTAAGACTAGTGTGAATGAAAACGCTATTTAGCACATTAAGGTTGTTTAAGTAGCACATCCATTTTGAAATGTGTGTACAAGACTATGTTTAATGGTCCTCTCCAAAAAAATTTGTTCATTTTCATTTGTGGTGAATATTATGTGCAATGCTGTTATGCGCACGATTATTTCATCGACTTCAACTTCCGTTTATCAGTTAATTCCATTTCCATGTTTTATATAAAAATATGTATGGCAGCATCTCCGGAGTAGCATCCTTCATCCTAGACAATTCGTTTGGTAGAATTCGATGTTTTACATTTGTTTTCCTTCTATAGGGATTAATATTTATCTTTATTTGGACTGTTTTTGTTGTACGGTATTACCACAATTGATAGCGTTGTTTCTGTTTATTCTCCTCTTCAGTAGCTCTTGGTCTAGCAGTCCTGTTTAAATTCTATCTATGGTCGTTTTTCGTTAAAACGTGTTTTATACCCGTTGTCGCTGATATACTGTCTTCACTAGATATAAAGTTAATGTGCTGATGGTATCATTATTTTTACGTTATCTTTCATAGTCGGTGGGGCTAAAGTAGAGAAACAACTTTGAGCGATTCAAAAAAGATCTCGATAAATATCATTTGCTTATCCAGTTCTAAATGGAGTTAGAAATCAAGATTAGCAATTAGGGTTAGGGGTCAGGATTAGAAATTAGAGTTAGTTTTCGTCACGAACTGATATCAACTATCATGTAAAAATGTTCTGTAGCCTATTGATGGAGAAATTCCACACAAAATTCATGAAGCGGTACCTTATGTTTGATTGGTTCGCTGCTATCCTTTGGTTCCATCGTATATTTTTATTCTTAATCCTGTTTACGAAGCTACTGTGTATGTCATCTTATATGCAACTACTGGTATAGCTAACCTTGAAAATGTAAAATCCATCAATGATACTAGAGTACTCTTTGAGCCTTTGTAAAGTTAATGTCTTTTCATGCATGAACATTCAAGTTTTTAATCAGCGAGATTTGTTACACTTTCAATCCCAAACAAATGAATTTGAGTGTGACATTCCAGAGATTCTTTTTAAGTTAAACCACCATTATTGGATAGATAGGGTGAAGTCTTTGTATGATTGTAAAAATACATGAACAGTTGATCTTTGTCTCATTTAGATAACATTTTATGCGAATCCAAATGTTGAGCAACTATCCGTAACTATTCGAGGACGTTATGTTATGGTCCTTTAACTTCAGATGGTTAAATACATCGCCATGTCGGCAAATTATTGCTTAACCATGAAACCCGTAAAACCTTTCAACTACAACTTGGTGTATCAAATTGTATGTTTTGGTTTCAACTTGGCGGAATTCTAAGTTTTTTATCAACTTTATTTATAAATTGGCATTTTCTTCTGCTTTAGCACTGCAATGCTATTTATTTGTTTATTATTATTTGTTTTTCAGAGTTGAACATAGTCCAACACTATCACGTGTCCTACAACATGCCCAAGAATCCTCACTATGTAACCAATTGTCAGATGCTATAATTTATGATGTAGATGACAAGCAATGTTCTGCCTTTCGTAATCCCTCTGACTCACTTGTCACTGTTGTACAATGTCACCGGAGTCTACTAAACTTAATCAACAGATTGTAAAAGATGTACATCTTAATTCCGATGCTTCCATAACTAATGTTGAAAAATCCAATGTTCAACACGATTCTGATTCTGTTGATAACAGTTTTTGTTCACAAGAAGCTGAATCGAATGCTGCGGCTGTAACAGAAGCCAAACGTGAAAAACATCGAAACAAGAAACAAAGCCAACGAGCAGCAAAACGTGCAGCTGCCGAAAACAACACTGCTTTCGATTTGGATAAAGTCAGTAAATCACCCAGCCCAGAAATTCAGGACCCTATTAATTCCTCAACCTCTCCTTGTTACGCTCTTTCTCCAAGTGGAGATAGTGAAAACTGGAACTTGCTCATCGAGTCCCAAAGTGCTCATTTTGGTCAGTATTTTAATATGGGCAAAAGTTCGAATGTTGTCAGTGATTCAAATACATGGACTGTAGTCGTACCATCTAACAGTACGCGATCTCAACGCACTACAGTGAGTACACACGTTTCTTCGCGTGTAAGTAATGAGATGGCTGATTGGAAGACTACCAACTCTAGCAACAGTTCTTATAAACGTCGACTTTCAATTCCTGTTTCAAGGCATGATATTGGGAAAGTCATAGGTCAGGGTGGGGCAGTTGTTAGTGCCCTAAGAAATATGAGTGGGATTCAAATAGATATCGAAAGTGCGCGAAGTGATGAAGTAACAGAGCGTATGGTCTATTTGAAAGGTCCCAGCGAAGCTGTCCAGCGAACTTATGAAACAATTCAGGGACTTCTCGACGGTTCAATTGCTGGCAATGATGTCCTACTAATGTATCACGCTTTAAAAAAGTCTTCTACTCTACCATCAAGCATGTCGCTTTCTGGTACTGCTTTAGGCTCTCTTACTTCTAGGTTGAATGGTGCAACTAGTGTGACAGTCCAGAATACAATTAAAAGCGGGTTGTCTAGTGTTAAGGTTATCAACCCAAGTAACAGAACTCCTCGTAGAACTGGAAAATCTGTAACTAATCCCGTAGCTGCAAATACCACTCGATCTACCTCAACTCAACCAACTCCGCTTCCCGTAGTCCCAAAACCCACAAAAACACCCACAATATCCATCTCTAATAACAGTAGCAATAGCACGTTTTCAAGTACAACAGCTACTTTGATTCCTTTGATATCTTCCGGTCTGAAAACAACTTCTGGACCAACGAGTTGGAGTTCTAAAGTCTCAAATACCAGCTCTTCAAAGGGTAACTTCGCTTCCGTTGCTGCGGCAGGAATAAGTACTCATTCATCGCGCCTCGTTAAGCCAGTAGACAACCAGATAGTAAAAAGTGTTCGCAGTCAGTCAAAAACTACCGTTCAAAACTTAATGACTGCACCGGCTCCAGCTTTGTCATTATCAACAACAACTCCTGTTTCGTTACTATCTCTCAATTTATCTCCGTTTCCATCGAGTAGCCAAATGTTTCCAGATTTTATTCCATCGCTTTCTAATGTCGGCGATTTCTGTACTGATTCTTTAGATGAAGTTAGCTTTCCACCCTTGAATCCTTCTAAATCCACCAAAGTTACTCAATCGAGAACAGCCACGACAACAACAATACCGGCAGTAACTGTGTCAAATATGAAGAATCCGTCATGTTTATCTAACACACATGTCTCCTCTTCGTCTGTAAATTGCCCTGTCGAAGGCATTTCGTTTGGAATGGATAAACTTAAGATAAATACCTCATCTGGTGACTTAACATACATGCTTTCCATTAGTGTATTTGACAGTCCCGTTTCTACAGTTCATACAGCATCTGTCTCAAATTCATTCCCCCTAACAACGCTTTCTACCACATCACCATCTAATTATGGACCTTTGACAGTTTCTCCTACTTGTGGAGTTATGCAGACTTCTCAGTCGAATACTCCAATGGGTTCCGGTAACACACACACTTCAGCTTATGTTTCTACACCGCCTACAACTACAACTCAAACAAAGTCATTTGCTAGGGCTCCGGGTTCTGAACGCAGCGCACATCAAAGAAATGCAAATGTAACAGCTACTTCCATCTCCCTTAGTCTAAACGATTCCTTCCCACCATCGCTTTTATCCTTGGATGTTAATGGTAACACAAATGTTTCCGTAAACGGCGGTGCTAATGACACTACACTTTTCACACCAACAAAGCGTGCTGTCGCTTCAGACATTCACAATCCTGATTTTCGTCATGATTCAATCTCAAATCATTTTCGACCTGATAGGTCATGTGATTGGCAAACTTCTGACTCATCTGCAGCTCCTGCACCATCGTCTTCTGCATTTGTGAAGAACACTACGTACTCAGTAGCCTCCAACACACTAACAATTACATCCACTAGTGTCAGTAGCTCGATCATCGACAGTCACTCAGCTATGGACTCTGTCCCAGTCGTTACGAACGTATCACAAACGCGCGATCCTATCGGTTCTCTCCACTCTATGCCAATATTATGGTCTGCTTCGAGACCCGATTTGAATCCCAACTCAATAGGTTTCCATCCATCGTTCCAAACACTTAACCAAGTCGTACCAAACTTGAAGGCTAGTACTGAATCAGCTGACCCATTAATTCAGGCTTCCTTACTCCGAAATGACTTCTCTAATCACTCTGTATCTGATCAATTTCAAGATCAATACTCTACCCAAGGAGCTCAATCTGGTGTCTTGCGTCAAATGGTCACACAAGCATCTCTCCAGAAATCGAATCCTGTTGGATTATCATATTTACAGTCCGCCCATCAACAAACTCAGATTAGTAATTGCTCTTCAGGTTTAAACATTTCAAACACGCAAAGTATGTTGCCAACATCCTCAACAAATACTCCACTAAATGCATCTTTCCGGTTCAAGCCTCCAATGTCTGGTACCTCTGCATATTTAGAATCACGATCTACAGCATTAAATGGTTTTCCAAGTGGTTTTTGTTCTCCATCGACTTCTTCAATGCCTTTGAATAATCAATTTTCTTCCGTTTTCCCTATGACTCAACAACAGTCATTCCGTTACAACAGCAACTTTCTTTAGGCCCAGGTACTATTTCAGCCTTAAATCAACAGACGCAAGTGGATTATCAACTCGTTTGGGCAATTCATCACATCCTATGATTAATCAAACACAATTGTCTATGTGTTCATCTGGTCCAGGTGGATCTTACACTCCTCCTCCTTTTATGACCGGTTATGTTCAACCTAGCATCCAACCTGTGTGTAGTGCTACATCAGTCGTCCATCCAAATACAAACTATACATCTCATTTGCTTAACGGTAAAGACTTTTTTAAATTGATATATTTTAAGCCTTTTGCACGATTAATACTTGACTAAAAGTTTTTGTAGTAGTAGAGTGTTTACAGCAAAATTTTTATGTGACGTTTGCTGAACAACACTTCTGGTGTATGTCCTAATTTTAACATTACATAGAACAGTGCATTACAATTGTTCGTTCAGTAGGCTTCAAAATCTACCTTCTTCAAGGTTATAAGTGGTTGCATGTGAACATTTTTTCGATGAAAACAACATTGTTATTCATCCGTACAGACAATTAACTAGTGCGTATCAATTATACTTGCTTCTTCAAGTTTTTTTGTTCAGTTGATTAGTACTGTTAACCAGCCTGGCAACATATATGATTTGCAGTGTAAGACGTGTGCTTACTTACTGGATTACACTTCATTTGCTTATCCCGTCATTAGAATCAACATATCTGACTTTATACATTCCCACTTAATTTAAACTTTTATGTTCTGTTATTTGGGCGTGAATTTGTTTAGTAAGTTAGTGTTTTATCAGTTCTAAGCACAATTTACACTTCTGGCTGTTTTATACCACATTACTGTAGTTGCAAGAAGATTCGTTACTGTGCTAAGATTGTAGCTAATAAATAACATTACGTTGACCCTTGTCCGCATTAAAAAAACATATGTTGTGTAGCTTTTCAGTTCTTGTGTTAGTCTATAGAAACCCAAACTAAAAAATATTAATTTCTTGAGTGATTTGTCGTATTAAAATGAATCGTTCGATAGCTACTCATATGAATTATAGACATCACTTAATATCATTATTATTAGCCGTTGTGTCATAAATTTCTTGGCCTGTTTTCCCACTTTTATTCACCAACCATATCTTTTTCTGGAGATTTTAGTTATGCATTAATCCTACGCTTGTGTTATCTAGTCGGTCAGTTGAGATAAGTACTAGTTTTACATTTCATTGTTGCTTGGTTCTTTTCATCACTACACTAGATTTATAGAATATTACTTTCAGTCAACATTTTCGTTAATATAATGGCTTTTTTTTCTTGCCATACTTTCAACCTAGGTTTCAGTTCTTCATCCCATATTGGAACAGTGTGTACTCCGACAGTAGGTGCTGGGGTTCCGTTAGGTGTTCCATCAAATGCGGCACAAGGTCCTGTTCAAAACCAGCCCGTTCCTATACAACCAATCGGTGCTGAACGTCGCCGACAAGCCAACACTCTCACGTCTGTCACTTCTTCGAGTATAGTTTATCCCAATATGTCGAGCAATAATAATCTGGCTGGGCCTGTCAACTCAGCAGCTCCGGTTGTAGCCAATCCCCTGGCGACGATGCATCCACAAGCTCCTTCTCCTCAACAGTGTTCCGTTAATTCCAATGCTAATAATTTGTTAATGGCGTTTACTATGAATTGGATGCAGCAACAACAACAACACTCAAACTTAGTTAGTGGTGTTTCTGGGACAGTAAATTCACCAGCTAACTGGCCTCCTCCCATGTGGCCTACTAACAACATAAATAATAACTATCCTGTCACCTGTCCACCAATGAAAGTTCCTCCTTGTAATCCAAATGACATGAACATCTATAACAATTCAGCTATGCTTCCAAACACTTTACCTGCTGTTAATGGAGTGGCAGGACACCAGCATCAACAATCAATAATGGCCGCAGCTATGGCGGCAATGGCAAATATATATCCTTGGAATAGTGGCGGTGGTAGTGGTAGCGGAAATTCCGGTATCTTAAGTGGAATCCCTGGTGTATCAACAGCTGGCTCAAATCGTTGGGTATGTCCTCAAGTTAGCACTGCATTCCCTGGTGTCAACCATCGACTGCACAACCGTACTACCAAGAACAATATCCTACATTAAAGCCTAGTGGTGGTAATTAGTTGTTGTTGTTGGTTCTGTTGCCATCGGGAGTTTTCACACCACATACTTAACGTGAAGAGGTAATTTAAAACGTAAACTGCTCTTGACTTTTGGATTGATAACTCCTTACTGTCTGTTCGTTTTCTTTTTCGACTGAATAAAATATGCTTCTTTCCTTGTTTATTCATTTCTACGAAATGTAGTTAATAAATTTAGCAAATCGCAAGGTCGTTCATACTATTATGACGAAAATGATCAGGATTCTTTGTAGTTATGCTCGCTATCAGTATCGATTTTCTACTTGTTCTCTCTTTGCGTCCTGTTTATTTAATGTGTTTAGATTTCAGGGTTGTCTCCCGGTTGCAAAGTAGTCGTTCATATTGTTAGCATGTTATATATATATATATATATATATATATATATATATATATATATATATATATATATTGAAGCCTAAAAACGGCTTTTTGTTCGAAATTGATCAGATTTATTTATACCTGATCTCTCGTTGCACATGATTCTTCTGATAATCCTAAAGTAATCTTGAATGCAGTTGATTTGTCAGTCTAATTCCTGATAGAGTTGCAATCATTTGTTCCATCTATTCATTATGTTGTTAATTCTAGTGTGTTTAATTTTCTGCAAGTCAAATTTTTGATGCTGCCATTCTATATAAATAAATTTTCGATTACAATTTTCTTGTGTTGTACTAGTTTCAATTGGAGGCCATTATATTAAAAATAAACCTCACTTTTATATTGCCTCTATTAAATGCTTGTCTTTCGTACTCACCTGATTCTGCTGTGGTTTGCGTAATAATGTTATAGTTATTATTATTGTTATTATAACTTGAACAAACTATTATACATGAATGGTATACCTCTGTCTTAGCCACTCTCAAATTGTAGTGAAAATTTTTTTTAAGACTGTTACTAATTAACATTCATTCATTCATTTAACTGTAATCGAATCATATCCATATTACCTTTCTGCTCGTTTCCCTTTACAACAAAACCTCTGAAATCTCCTTTTGTTATAATCTGTAATTTTGATTACTATAACATCTATGTTCTCTCATACTACCAGTGGATAGATTTGATATATATATATATATATATATATAATATATATATATATATATATATATATATATATATATATATCGTTTTTTGAGGGAAAAAGTTAACAATCTTTTCAGGCTGTTGCGTTTTTAGCAATTGCCAAAATTTTCTTAGTGAACTTTAGCTCCCTTGTTTGTTTTTCTGTCCTACTACACGGTCAGTTGGTTGACGTTTCCTCGTCAGTGTAATGTACTGTATCATAGATCAAGCATCCTACTATTATTTGTCCAATGTTCTATCATTCTTAGTGAAAAATATATGGGTTCGTCAAAGTGATTTCCTCTGGAAAGTTTATGCACTGGCTCTTCCACTTTTCTTTATAGTTGTCGTCAGCTAAATTATACTTAGAGTAAATCTCAACACTTTCGTAAGTGTCGATCAGTCCTTTTTAAAATTATACCAAAATCATTGTGCTGTCGTCGCATTCCATACAGGGGATATAATCGTTCAAATTGTAGAAGGACCATTTATTCTAATTTCTGCTAATTCATGTTGAGCTGTTTAGGAATACTTTGATCGGTTCTAAAAGATTTTTTTAGATTACCAACTCCTTTGGTTTGATGACAATTATGTAGGAGTCTATAACAATAATACACTCCAAGTTTTCATCCAATAAGGTACAGTTGACTGCATTTTTGGACCACTTGGGAATCTCAATCATGACTTCAAAGTAAAAGTTCGGTTTTTAGATTCTAATATGAGATCAGATTTGTTATCTAGCAGTAGGTGCATTACACTGTATATATCATAACAGCTTTAGTGTGTAGCTACCTAAGTCCAAATAAATCAGCAAAATACATTATCAAGTTACGGGTATCACCATGAAACCAAGCTAACAAACATTGATTTTAGAAGTCGAGTAAGAGACAATAATGGTCAACTGCTTGGAGACGTTGCAAACTAAATTTTTGTAAAAAACAAGTAGTTTTTTAATTAATGGGGGAATGCACATGTTACATTAATCTACTTTGAGCTAGTTACTTGATTCCAACATAACTGTAAAAATAAGACATTTAGCCAGTAGTTCTTGTAACTAACTAACTAAGGCTTTTGAGGATCGAAGGCAGGTATTTGTTTGAGTCAATATTCCATGCTATAATAATAAACGACTGAACATTTTTGGCACATATTTCCAGAGATCTTAATCCACTGCTGGGCGTTTTTGTCTCAAATCTCAAGTACCTCTATGCCTGCTCTAAAACGGCCATGCTCGTATTGTATTCAGCCAGCAAAAGCAACAGTAGTTAATATCACTATCCACTAACAGTTCTCCTGAATAGCGTGTGTCAGTTTCAAAAAGTTAATCACTTCTTTGATAGTCGGCCATGATGGTCGCATTGGCTAGAGGCCTCATTCGGTTTGACGCTCCTAATAAAAAGCTTTCCAGCGAAGAAACTTTTCACGACATAATTAACATAAAGTTGTGCAATCGTATTCGTAGTTAGTTTTACGCTTAGTAGTATGTAGTGAAGGGTGTTACTTCAGTAAATAATTACGCCTGTTACCCCCAATAGAACATAGGTCACTGACCAGCATTCTCCAACCCACTCTGTCCTGGGCCTTCCTTTCTATTCCTATGCAATTGTTGTCCATTCTTCTCCATTTCTCGGCGTAATGTGTTCTTTTGTTTTCTTCTCCCTCTTTGACCTTGAGAATTCCATGTGAGGGCTTGTCTTGTGACGCAGTTGGTTACTTTCCTAAATGTGTGTCCTATCCACCTCCAGCTCTTCTTCCTCCGCTGGAACCTAGTTTGTCGTATCCCATGGCGCGTTGTTGCTGACAGTCTCTGGCCAGCGGACCCGAAGTATTTTGCGTAGACAAGTGTTAATCAACATTTGTATCTTCTGGATGATGGCTTTCGTAGTTCGCCATGTTTCCGCCCCATACATTTATATTTAAAATTCTGACTTTGATGTTGGTTGACAGTTGTTTTGAGTTCCAAGTGTCCTTCAGTTGTAGATATGCTGCTCTTGCTTTGCCGTTCGCGTCTTCACATCTGCATCAGACCCGCCGTGCTCATCAGTGATGCCACTTCAGTAAAAAGGGTTATGAAAAATAATGTTCTTAAATATCGGCAGACAAAAACTCGATCGTTAAAAATATGCTAGTTCACAATGATTTCTGTGAAATTCCGAGAGAGATGTTTCAAACTTATGATTGATATAATCATTAAGACGACCAAGTGGAACTATATAGCATTTGACTGATTTTACCAATCCTTAACTCGAGATTCAATAAGTAAGAAATGATTACTTAAAAAGTTCTGTAAACTTACTGAACTTAAGTGAACATTAACTAAGAAGCGCTACACAAGGTGTCGGGTTTTATATGCTATCCTACTGGAAGTCTATCCATGAAGGTTAGCAAAGAGTGAAGTGATCTCTATCATCAATCACTCATTAACATAGGAAGCGTTCAATCAAAATAGTATGGTTGACCTCTGATAGATTAGGCCGCCAACCAGCAACATCCATTGAATTTTGCCCTGGCCTTTCTTTTCCCGTTAATCTGTCCCGTGCTCTTTCCCAGTTGTTCGCTAATGCTATTCATAATCTCAATGCCTGCTTAATATTCTCGGCCCCAAATATTCTGTAATGTAGCAATTGAGTAGGACTTATGAGTGATTATTGAATAACTTTAAAAATTCAATGTTTAAAACGAAAATCTATTTGGAACCTAACTTACCTCCTATCCTCCCTGAAAACAATATACAAGAAATAGATCGAGCAAAGTAGATATTCCTTCTGATCAGTTAATCACTTGATTTATATTGTTATTTGAGGTTTTAACAAAAACTGTTCCGCAATCCATGATGTTAGTAGTCAGATTTTAATGTTTGTGATATGCTAACGTTTTGCACACAATATATATATTTCATTTTAAGTGATTAAAAAAGAAGTATCTATTCAACTGCTCCTGTGGAGCAAGTTATATTGGCAGATGTTCTAGGAATTTGTACATTCGGGCTCGTGAGCACCTACCCGTGTGTTTAAGCAAAGGTGTTGTCAAAACTGTTAACAGCTCCATCTTAGACCATTTAGTCCAAACAGGACATACAGCAAACATGGAGCAATCATTTGCAATAGTTTATCGTGTCAACAGCAGTCTACCTAATTCCGTCAGACTGCGAATCCTACAGACGGATAAAGCAATTGCTATTCGGATCAAAAAGCCAGAGCTTTGTATCCAATAGAAGTATGTTCAGCCACTCCTTTTACTCTGGTCAACTAACTAATAATCAATCTTATAATGTGGTGACGTAATCTGATTAATGTTCATTTTATGTCCCAAACTTATTATTATCATTATTACTATTATTGTCTTTACACTTGATAACCCCTTTTTGAGGAATTTATTCAATATCCACCCCTGAATCTACTATATTTGACCTAATTATTTTACATATTACGTAATTTCCGATTTGTAATCACAATATTCTCTCTCTCTCTTACCCCATGTTGACCATATTTATTCTGATAATTTTATTTCGCTTATAAACTGATTCAAGTTAACACTTTATATTAATCAGCTCCAACATTAACGATTTTATTTATATAACAAACAATTCCTGATTCACATATTACAATTTCCGAATGATGTATTTTGCCTTAAATCTGGCCAATTTTATGGATTATTAATCTGGATTTATAATTGTAGAACCTGATGAGATATTATTGAAAAGAATATTCTTCGTTCATACAATTGAGTAAATAAACAGTCAATCAGTTTGAGTCTTCAAAATTATTCACTAAACAACAAACAAAAAGATTAAAAAGAAATGATTGTGATTCAAATTAAATGAGCTTTTAAAAGTGGCACTACAAATTCATCATGATAAAGTTACCAATATTTTGTTATTTAGATATGGGTTTAGAGTTACTTACTGAATTAATTACTTAGATAACCATGAAAAACCAGGGAGTAATAAGAAACATTCTACATTTCGAGATTCGTTTTTTATCTGATACAGAATAATGATCTACTGATCTCATTAATGATA